TGATTGCCATATTTTGCCAAGTGTAGTAAATGTTGATGATATGAAAAGTCTTGCCAGTTAGATGCTAAGTTTATACTTTACAGGGGCCCCTTTGATAGTTTTTGAATGTCTAGTACGGCCTTTGATGTAATATGAGTAAACTTCAAGGGGCTTCTTGAAAAATTGACTTTACATTATTGTGTAACTAATAAATTTATTGGTTCTCCCTATGTGTATAAATTGAAATGGAATCTCCAAATTCTAGTAAATCTTATAAAAAACGTCTTCGATTGTGAAGTAATTTTTTTTAATTACGAATTTCGAAATTTTCAATGTCTAATTTATCCGAACTATTTTAGAATGTAACTAGAATAAATATTATGTTTCGATTTTCCATTTGATTTTAATTTCTAAAAATATTTATTAGAAATTCCAAATTTACCCTTCACTTAGATTATAAATATTATTATTACATAAATTTTCCCGAATTTTACCTATCCGATCCAAAATTGAAAAAAAAAAAATCGAACTAGTTTTCCGTTCCGATTTCTAAATTTCTAATTTCCACCTTCTTTTTTCAAAATTCATGGGGAAAAAAAGTTAGAATTACTTTCGCTTTCGAAAATGTTTCAGAAAATCTCGATTCCAATCTGATCCGTCCGATTTCCAAAACAAAAAAAGTTGAGGGGTGAAATTATAATTACGACAAATATACGGGACAAAGTTAAAAATAATTTCTGCAAGTATTTCCCTTCTCTGCCAACATAAACACCTTTAGTAAGTAAAAACACCATACTGACATTTCTTTCTCTCTCTATATATATCCACTATATCTCTACACAATCTCTCTCTCTCTACAATCTCGCTTCTCTCTCTCTATAAATCTATTAAAGCTCCACTCAACAAATTTTCACTTGCAAAAAACTCCACTTCTCATCATCACACAATATAATCTTTTATTATTAATTAATTAATTTATTAATTAATGGAGAGAATGTTCAGGCCTCCACCAGAAACTCCACGGGAGCCAATGGAGTTTCTCTCCCGCTCCTGGAGTATCTCCGCCCTCGAAATCTCCAAAACCTTAGCTCCACAACCCCCGCATATTCCGGCCCGGAACTATCCTCGAGGCGGCGGCGCCGCCGCCGCCGCCGGCGGTGCTGAACAAACCATATTCGAAGACATCTCCGCCGAGCTGGAGGAGGCGGCCGCGGCGGCGGCCTCCGCCTCTGTTTCCGGGAACCCTTTTTCCTTCGCTTCTTCTCAAACTTCTCAGCTTGTCATGGAGCGTATCATGTCCCAATCTGTAAGTAAAGATCCGAGCTTTCTCTCTCTACCTCTCTCTCTCTCTCTAGACATACCTCTCTCTCTCTCTCTCTCTCTCTCTCTCTCTAGCTTCTTTGTCTTGTTGATGTCAAGAATCTGGTTATATAAGCCGAGTGTTTTTTGTATATTTGGTAGGTTGAAAACAAATTGACTTGGACTTTTTCCATGGTGCCAAAAATCCAATCTTTATTTTATTTTTATTTGTTTGTCCATATTCTCTTGTTGTTGTCTGAAAAAAAAAATCTGATCTTGACTCAAATAATTCTATTTTCTTGATTCTTGATTATATTTGAACCAATTTGATTCTTGTTTCTTGTTAATATTAAGTCAATATTACCCTCTAAAAGAAAATAATTAAGGCAAATAGTGAAAATAGAGAGAAGTGTGTTTATTAATTTAAGGTTGTTTTATGGGGAAAACCCAAAGTGTGTGTGTTTCTTGGAACTGTAAGAAAATTTAGGAGGGCATTTAATTAGTTAGTGGGTAGTGCTGTAGCTCTCTAGGGTGTTTGTTGAATTATTTTAATCTTATTATTGCCCCTACAAAACAATTATTCCTAATCTTGAAAATTTGTGTCTTTAATTGACTTGTATTATGTACAATAAATTTAATAATCACTATTGTATTATGTACAACATGTACAGCAGGAGGTATCACCGCGCACTTCAGGGAGATTGTCCCACAGCAGTGGCCCTCTCACTGACACCCCACCTCTCTCCCCTTCTGAAATGGATGACCCTAAGGTTTTTTTTTTCTTTCTTGATTTTTTTTCTTAATTTAATTTTTTTTAATTTGATTTTGTTTTTTCTCTGACTATGTTTCTTGCTCTCTTTCTTGGACACAAAACACAAGTTCTGTAGAGAGAGAAAGATAGAGATAGAGAGAGAGAGAGAGTATCTCAGCTTTCTCTTTAACCAAAACATACTAATAACATGATAGTGTAGTAGTATAGTACAATATTTTTGATACCTTTCCTTCTCTTACACACAAACATTGAATCATTTGTTTAGTAATTTTTAATTTTTTTAATTTTGTGTGTGTGTGTGTGTTTCTTTAATTTAATTATATTTTTGTTTTAGTGTTCATTCATCATTACAGATAACATTATCTTTTATTTAATTATTATTTGCACTTATTTCCCTTTTGCTAGAATATTATGTTTATACATATTTGTAAATGATTCCACAAATGGGTAATAAAATAATTACATAGTTACTCAGATATCTATGTTCTTACATAAATTTGCAAAAGAAAAAATGTTACTACAAATTATTGGTTCAATTTATTATGGGGAATTTATGATGAAGGGTACCAATTACCAAACTATTTTTTATGGGGGACCTAATTTTTCAGACAAGATAATTGGGGTCCCCTTTTTTTTGTTTTTTGATGAGGGGGACTGGTCTAATTTCTGTCATTAATTAATTGAATTTTTAGGTTCATAAAGATCGTTTTTTTATGGTTTATAAGCATGTTCTTGAAACATATTCATGCTTTGTTTTGATTGTGTGTGCAGTATATTCGGATGAACAATCCGGCGAGCAGTCACCACTACAAGGCCGCGGGCGGTGGTGGTAAGACCGTCGGGCGGTGGTTGAAGGACAGGCGGGAGAAGAAGAAAGAGGAGGCGAGGACGCACAACGCGCAGCTCCACGCCGCCATTTCGGTCGCCGGAGTCGCCTCCGCCATCGCCGCCATTGCCGCCGCCACAGCCGCATCCTCCGGTGCTGGAAAAGACGAACGGATGGCGAAAACCGACATGGCGGTGGCTTCTGCCGCCACTCTGGTGGCGGCGCAGTGCGTCGAGGCGGCGGAGGCAATGGGGGCCGAGCGTGAGCACTTGGCCGCCGTCGTTAGCTCGGCTGTCAATGTCCGATCGGCCGGTGACATCATGACCCTAACCGCCGCCGCCGCTACTTGTAAGTATCCGTTTGATTAGGGTTTATTGCACTTAGCACCCTTATGTTTACTCTAATTGCAAACTACTACCTAATGCAATGAACTCATTTTTCAATTCAATCATAACTATTAAGTAATTTGTTTTTTATCGAATTTAATTTGCAGCGCTTCGTGGGGCCGCCACGTTGAAGGCTAGAACACTGAAGGACGTGTGGAATATAGCGGCAGTTATCCCCGTCGACAAAGGAATGGGAGTTTCCAACGGTAGTAACGGAAGTTCTAACGGAAGTTTCAGTGGCGAACTTGTTCCGGAAGAAAACTTCCTCGGCATTTGTAGTAGAGAGCTTCTTGCTAGAGGCTCTGAACTTCTCAAGAAAACTCGAAAGGGTAAAAACGTCATCTTTTTCGAAGTCCGATTCTTGGCTTTTTTGTAACTGAATTAATCTTTTTTTTTTTTGGCAATATGATAATTACAGTTCCAATGCTTGTAAATAAATGCAGGTGATCTTCATTGGAAAGTAGTGTCAGTTTACATTAACAGAATGGGTCAGGTATATATACACACACACACATATATATATATATATATATACATATATGTATAGCCTTTTTAATCTCTTCCATCATTGAACAATCAAATTCTGCTTTGAATTCTTTGAATTTCAATCTTGTGTACATGGAAAAAGAAAATAAAGTATAAAGAATCTTGCTTTTTCTTTATTTCTTAATTAATTAATTAATTAATTTATTTATTTCACTTTAGGTAATGTTGAAGATGAAGAGTAGACATGTTGCTGGAACTGTCACAAAAAAGAAAAAGAGTAAGTTTTTATTTCTTTACCCTTTTCCTTTTCCCTAATGATGAGACCAGAATTGGAGGTGGATGGGTCTTTTTTTCGACATCGGGATTCGAGAAAGAAGAAAAAAGAAGTTAAAGTTGCAATCTTTGTCTTTAATTTTTCGATTTTTATATTTTTTGATCAGATGTAGTGCTGGAGGTGATGAGGAATATTCCGGCATGGCCCGGCCGCCACCTCCTCGAGGGCGGCGAGCACCGCCGCTACTTTGCATTGAGAACCGTGTCACGAGGGGTGGTCGAATTCGAGTGCAAGAATCAAAGAGAATACGATATATGGACTCAAGGTGTTTCGAGATTGCTTATTATTGCTGCAGAGAAGAACAGCAAACACAGGATTTGATGTGTTCTTTCTCTCTTTGCAACAATTGTAGGTAATAAAAAAAATTATATATATTTATTTAAAATCAAGAATATTAGCTTATAGTTTGGGGTTTGGACTAACCATTTTTTTTTTAATGTTATCTTTTTTTGGGGTTTTGTGTGTTTTATTTTGTAATATTGAAGAAAAGAAAAGGTAAAGTGAAGTGAAGTAAAGCTAAAAAAACCATGTGATCCAATATAGTATATATAATATATATCATATATTATATATTTATTTTATTTTTTGAATTTTGTGGGGGAAAAAAAGAGGATCTTGGACTTGGTCAAAAAGGGAAGGAAGACAAAGAATGGATCTTTTGATTGTGTGTGTTTATTTATGATAAGTGGGGATTTGGCTTTACTAGGTTTTAATTGTAATTTAGGGTTTAGATTAAGGTTTCTGATTGGGTGGAAATGTGATTTGTCTTGATCTGTAATTAGTACTTTTGTATAATTATTATCTCTTTTTGGATTTAGTACATCTGGCTTTTGCATTACTTTATTCCATTGGTTTATTCTCTTTTGTTACTTTTAATGCATGATTGGTACGAATTATGTACATTTTTCTATATATTCTTATTGTTTAATTTTAAGAAATCAAGATCAATATGTACTTTATACTTTTTTACCCTACAAATTGGATAATGGTGAATGAAGTCCATAATTTAGGTAGTGTGTGCAGATGTTATAATGTTTGAATGAAGTTCATAATTTATGAAATTTTTTAATGTTTTAAAAAAACTGATTTTGAACTGAAAAAATTTCATAATCATTTTGGAAAAGCATTTGCAAACAGCACCTTAATAAGGGGTTTTTGGCCTAATACGAGTATAGTGAAATCAATCAAGTTTCGTATCAATAACAGCTCGAGAAATCAAGATAGACAATTGCACAAACACCTTGCGAACTCTCTGATCTTGAAGCTAAACAGAAAACTCTAAAAATAGCTTCTAAATACAGAATCATAAAGAAGAATAAAGAAGAACAGATTTATAGTCGTTCGATCAACCCAAAATGGCCTACATCCACTCTTCAGTAAGAAGATATTATTGATTCAATATGCAATTATAAAGATTATAAGTACACTAGATTAAAGCTTCCTCTGAAATTGAATTATATCGATCTCAATTACGTCTTAGTATTTAATTAAAAAAAAACGACTGAATAAAGTATCATCGTAACGGATCGAATACGCAATTAAATCAAAAATGATAGTAGTTACTAGATGTATACAATTATTATCAATATGATAATTAATAATTTTTACTAGAGTAATATCTAATTTATTTAAAATTAATTGAAAATATTTATTGTTGGATTTTGGCCCAAATATGTTCTGGGCCATAAAGCCCAATTGCCATCATTTATACACCACCATTGAGTTAAGCCCAAGGCATTTATGAGTGAGCCCAACCCATTTGTGAACCAAATCCATCCGTTGGATTTAGGCTCAATCTGGACCGTTCATCGACTCACTTAAATAGCATTTTCTCTCTCTTCGTTTCTCTCACTCTGAAACCCTAACTCTCACCCTCTCTTCTCCGCCGCTCCTTCGTCTGTCTTCTTCCTCCCTTGTACTGCCTTGACTAGGGGTGTAAACGAGCCGAGCCGACTCGTGAGCTCGAAGAGCCGGCTCGTAAAAAGCTCGAACTCGAACTCGAGATTTTCGAGCTCGAGCTCGAGCTCGCGAGCTCGAGCTTTCTGATGAGCCGAGCTCGAGCCGGTTTTCAGTTGTTCATGAGCTCGCGAGCCGGATTTATTATTATTTTTTTATTATTTTTTTTATTTTTTATATGTTATTTTTATTTAAATAATGTATAATAATGTAAAATATTATAGAAATAAATACAAATATTAAAAATATATATAATTACAATTTAGTTTTTATTTTTTATTTTTTTAAATAATTTTTAATAATAAAATAATAATTAAAAAAATATTTAAAAAAAAAAAAAAAAAAAAGACAATGGGCTCGAGCTCGAGCTCGAGCTCGACACAACTGACACGAGCTCGAGCTCGAGCCAAAAAAAGAAGAGCTCGCGAGCTCGAGCTCGAGCTCGAGCTCGACAAAATAAACTCGAGCTCGAGCTCGAGCCAGCCAAAAGAGGCGAGCTCGGCTCGAGCTCGGCTCGTTTACACCCCTAGCCTTGACTGAGTTATGGCTGGAGGTCAAAGTGCACGGTACAGTGCTGACTTTGACCCTCCGGTACAGCCTTCACCGGCTATCTTTGACTTCAGTCCCTATATATGTTGGCATGGAGGCTGGAAGAGGGTAAGACAGAGAAAACCCTAGTCAGACCTAAATCCCTTCGTTTTTCTTCTTTGTGAGTTCAGAAATTGGGGTTTTGGTGAGTGGGTTAGCTTGAGTGCTTGATCTGTTCTTCCTTCGTGGTTTTCTGGGTATTTTAGGGTTTGAGTGTTGTGAGAGAGAAAGGAGATCTGTTCTCCTTGAGGTGCTCTGGTGGTGTATAATTGGGAACTGTGAATCTCTGGTGTGAGATTGGAAGACTGAGCTGAAAATCTCAATCTATTTTTATCTTTCAATTTACTCATACTTGTCATTCCTGTTTCTGTATTTTATACATACCTATATATACATATATCTATTCTTCTTGGCTGTAATCAATAATGCCAAGAGGGATTCATATATATCTATAGCAGGCTTGAATGGAGCTTGGTGATTTGATACCCTACAGTGGTATCAGAGCTATGGCTATAGCTTAGCTCTACTCAAAGCGGAGTAATTTTCAAAACCTAACTTGGTTTTGTCAAGGTAACACCTCTGAAACCCTAATTTCGATTCCTGTTCGTTTGACCTGTGGAGATTGGGAGCCCTGTGTGGCTATTGAGTTGGCCCTGTGTGGCGTGGTGGCCCTGTGTGGCATTATGTGGCCCTGTGTGGCATTATTTGACCTTGCTTGATCTTTCCCTCTCTTCTACTTGCTTTTTTCCGCACTTAGTGTAGTTAAGGATTGCTCTCATCCACCCTTTCTTGTCCGGACCGCCTAGTGTCGCAGGAATCTGGAAAGGGGATGGCAATCTGATTTGTTACTGCCCTACTCTGAAATTTCTGTGTGATTCTGTGTGACTGTGTGATTCTGTGCCTCTTATCTTTGTGATACAATGAATGCTTATCCCTTAGCTCCTTTTGATGGAAATGGGGATTTTCCTATCTGGCAACAGAAAATAAAAGGTGTTTTAGTACAACAAAAATGTTTTAAAGCTGTTA